AATTACACACTCAGTGCAAATTTCGACGCATGAGGTCCGAGAGCTCGTGGGGCTGCTAGTTAACAAATTTTCAAAACAAACGTGCGACAATTTGAATTTGTTTCTTGCGTTGGAGAGTTTTTTTGTCGTCATCTACCGATAGCAAAGATGATGAACTAGGTAAACTGAACGCCAAAAATTGGTCCTTTACAGGAATTTCAAATTTATATTCCTCATCGTTTATCATAAATAATACTTGAATCATTTCAGTCATTTTTTAGAATAGAGATTTGTCGATTACCTAAATCTAAAATGAGGTTATGGACAAATGACAACAAATATTTACGAATATTTATGTTCCATTGAGAGCAATTTTCACATGGATTTCTTCAGTTTCTCGTGCAACACTCGTGCAGTACGAGTTTTGCCAATCGAAAACGCTATAATGAATGTATTTTAGCATTGGAAGGAAATTATAATTGCTTCATTTAATTATTTTAATTTGACCGGAGTTGGTATACTGTTTAACCGCTATAAAGCTAAAAGGGAATTAGGAGTATAAAGAACAATCGCGGTTAGAAATGCAATTTTAGTTTAGATGTAAATAGGTTCATAAATACTGCTTTACGAATGCATATTTGGAATAATCTAATCTAATCCTTGACGGCTCCCAGCCCATATTTATGCCTTTCAATGAGTAAGCTCAGGTGCACCAGTGATTTGAAGATAATGCCTAATGTATCCCCAAAGGTGTTCCTCAGTCCAATCTATTATTTATCTCATAATCACAAATATCACATTTAAAAACTTTGGATTCTTTTATGTTTTAAAAGATGTCGTTTGAAGACGCGTTTATCATTTGTCCCATAATCACAATCACCACATTTAAAATCCTTTGAAACTTTATGTTTTAAAAGATGTCGTTTGAAGATATATTTATCATTTGTCCGACAATCACAATCAGCACATTTAAAATCCTTCAAAACTTTATGTGTTAAAAGGTGTCGTTTGAAGTTGTGTTTATCATTTGTCCCATAATCACAATCAGCACATTTAAAATCTTTAGAAACTTTATGTATTAAAAGATGTCGTTTGAAGATGTGTTTATCATTTGTCCCATAATCACAAGTAGCACATTTAAGATCCTTTGAAATTTTATGTTTTAAAAGATGTCGTTTGAAGTTGCGTTTATCATTTGTCCCATAACCACAATCAGCACATTTAAAATCTTTAGAAACTTTATGTGTTAAAAGATGTCTTTTAAAGACGTGTTTATCATTTGTTCCATATTTACAATCAGGACATCTAAGTTCCTTCAAAACTTTATGTTTTAAAAGATGTCGGTTGAAGTTGCGTTTATCGTTTGTCCCATAATCACAATCAGCACATTTAAAATACTTCGAAATGTTATGTTTTAAAAGATGTTGTTTCAAGTTGGATTTATTATTTGTCCCATAATCACAATCACCACATTTAAAATTCTTCAAAACTTTATGTGTTAAGAGATGTTGTTTGAAGTAGTGTTTATCATTTGTACCATAATCACAATGAGCACATTTAAAATCCTTACAAATTTTATCTCTTACAAGATGTTTAAAGTTGCTTTTAAAATTTGTCTCAGACACTGTTTCACACCGAGTTAAACAGTGACTTTGAAAGTCGGTGTGTTGCTGTAGTTCTTCATTATAAAGAGATTTAGAACAGTGTGCAAGATTGGTAATTTCATCCTTTATTGTCACTAAAACTTCGTTGCTTACTGAAATGTGTCCCTGAAGAAAGGAATGGATTTCTTCTTCTTGTTTTGGTTCGATTTTTATGAATAGTGTGTCATCCCCATCCATACCTAACAAGAATAATGTTATCAATAAATGCATTACTAACTTTTTGAGTAAGAAATTTGTTGAATAAGAGTTGTAGTATGTACAGGGAACATATACATACTTGTAAGTTTGGGCCAACGGCCAATTTAAATAGGTGGCGATAAGTGCTAAGGTACTAATATAATATTAAATAGGAACCTCCGGTAGTCCTCTGATCTAGGTCCCGTACAAAAATTGTTGTTTTTCCAATGGTAATTCAGTAATCAAAGGAAATCGAATAGTTAGGGGAAGTTGTACCTATCTTAACCTCAGGAAAATATACGTTTCTTTTGAACTCTGCTCTTATGTTTAAAAACTTTAATTGATAATGGAGATGGAAGTCTACTTACCTACAATATTTAAAAAAATCACTACTTCAGAGTAAGAAATAGATCAAAACCATATACGTATGTGTCTTACATATATGATCAAAACACTTTTTTTAATTACGTGAAAATAGCCATAAATAATTATTTATGAAGATAGCTACTCCTAAATGCAGCGTTGCCAAATCACGGTTATACAAGATTGACCAAAAATTTGAACGACTCCCAGATACAGTATGGGGTTTTATGGTACGAGTTACTGTCTGATTATTGATAGCACTGTGCTGATGTATGTACCACAGAGTGGATCATATGGTGGTATACACCTCGACTGTGCTTAGAGAAATAGTCAAGGCTAACAGACAGCAACTTCCCGCCTTTAGGTAGCGCTCATAAAGTGCTTCCTCCGGTGAACGCTCCCCATCGTATATTTAACCATGTTCAGGATACAAAGATCTATTGCACTATGCAGTGAAAGAACTAACCAGAGACTTGCTATAACTAGACTGCGCTTAACGTATCTAAGGTGTTGTCGACACAGTATGCAACACACAATGCACCGCGGGGCAAAAATCGCTGAGATGATATGCAATACAATGAAATAAGCCGTTATTTTAGATGTTCCGTTCATTAATCATTCTCGTGATTAGCTCGAATTAGTGAACAGATACATTTCTGTTGATAATAAACCAATAAACTTAGGTTAACTTGTGCTTATCAACATGTACTCTGTCGATAAATTTTTAAATAATATGCTGATTTTCAACGGATACAAGTTTAAAGGGCCAATGGATCAGAGCCATTCGAAGAGAAAAATTTACTCCCACCATAGTGCATTTGCGGGGAATGAAGCCGATTTTAGAAAGATACCTACGAAGGTGTTAAAAAATAATGCAATACCGAGCGTTTTCGACTTTCCCATTCACTTAAAATAACGTAGAACTATTATTCGACATCCTTTACCAGCAAGACAACGGCAATACCTATTTGCCTATTAGGTATAGACGTAACTAAGTACTTACTGGTACTAAGTATATTTCAGGTTTTGTTACAAGAAAAATAGCTAAGTCTGTTAAATGTTCCATATGTGCAGATGCGATATTCGCATCAGAGAGTCATTCAAAGCTTTTAACTAGAAAAAATCGTGGCGGATTGTTGCACGTATCAAGCGATGCATTAAAAATTTGCCAAATTGCTGAAAATGTGTTCAGGTTTTTCATTCAATCCACACCACACCGCGTTGTAAACAAAATGGTTATCAGCAGTCTAAGAAAAATAAATAACAGTTACAGCCCATTTGGGTTTTTGGATAGGCATATATTGAAACAAAATCCGCTAAATAATCATATCTTACTACTTATATCTTTAGTTTTAAGAGTATATTTTCCCATACGTGTTCACCACTAAAAATACACATATAAATCAAATTAGGACTAGAGTAAGGCAGTTATATACCAATTTAGTTCAAATAAAATACCAACAAATTCGATTAAAATAGTTAACAGCTATATGTTATCTTTTTTTGCTACTAAAATTTAGAATAAACATGGCTAAAGCAAGCTGCAGAACGTACGTCTGCCCCGCGATGAACAGTTGGTTGCCTATCCTATCTTGACAACAGGCGTTTATAGTAAAATCTACGTTACGCGCGGTCTAGTTATAACAACTAACAAGTCTCTGGAACTAACCTTTTCACGTTTGAACGTTCTTGTAGTTTGGGATGTGGCGTCACGTCAGTGTGACTTTAGCCACAGATCTATATATATTGTGGTATGGTTGTTTATTATTATTTTTTCAATGGCCGATAGTATTGCTGCACACGTTAAGTTTAGCGAGTTATGTGAAGTGTTCGACAAGACATGTCTGCTAAAAAAGCAAGAGAAAAGTAACCCTTTAAGCCTGTTCATCAAAGTATACAAGGAAAGGGCGTCGAACCTTAGAACACAATATCCGAATGCTTCGACCAGTTTTTATCCGGCACTGCGATTAATTCTGCCACAGCTGGAACGGGAACGTGCCGCTTATGGCCTAAAGGAGTTCACGTTAGCGAAGCGAATAATTAAGATACTTTGTTTACCTGCTCGTGGGGGAGACGCTATACGTCTTACCGGCTTCAAGACGACCGGTCATGCTAACGTAAAGGATTTTGCAGATGCTGCCTACTGGATTTTGCGTAAACATTTTTTGGATAGCTCGGGTGTGACCATCGCTGAAGTTAACAGGTGTTTAGATGCGATCTCACAATTAAATTCCGATAATAATCCTCGTAAGTTTGTAGTGTGAATGTGGCTCTACAGGGTGTTTCTAAATTTGATGTAAATACGTAAGGGGTTTTTTTATGACCTAAGTTCTTATAAACAAAGGTCCACAAAGGTTTCGTGACCAATCTACAGGGTGTTTTAATTTCACTGTACACATTTAAACCTTTAATTTATAAACATATGCAAACACAATCCCAACTGTCAAACCCTTAGACCATATAGTACATGGACTGCTAATTGTAACTAAAATATGGTCAAGGACATCGCCTGGGTATGTGAGTTTCAGGGTAAACGAGTCTGTCCGAAATTGTCCGATTAGACACGATTTGAGACTGTCAACCTATAAATTAACAAACGTCAATTAATTAATCGCCTAGATATCCCAAAAAAAGCAGACTTATTCTTATTTGAGGACGTATAGTAAATAATGAAGAGTATTTAAAGCTTCCCGTACTACGCGGTTACTATAAAGCTGCTCTTTAAGCGATCCTAGTGGTGTTTACACGACCTTAGTTTACCCTGAGATTCACATACCCACGACTACAGTGCCCTCTATTCGTGACCATCCATTTTGTATTGAAAGCATAGGGCGAATAGCAGTCCATGTACTATATGGTCTAAGGTCAAACCTAATAAAAACAAAATATCCAAATAAAGCCAGGGTCTACTGGAACATTTTAAAAATTACGCTTTTAAACATATCGGAAAAGGAAATACTTACCAAATTTTAATTCACGCAATTTCTCCGCTAGTAATATTTACACTCTGTCTTACTCCTAGGCGCGAATTGGAATAATACAAAATATAAAAGCTAGTCTGCGGTACATTACAGAGATTTGACTTTCCTTTGCTCGCGGTCCAACGCGAATTTCCCTCAAAAATATACACCATCATAAATTGAGCCAAGCTCGCGGCTTAACACGAACGCTCTCCCGATTTAACGCGCACTGCCTGACGGCTCCCTCCAATCAACCAACTTCTTAATACTTTTATTTTTTGAGTCAAACCCATCCCGTAACTCGAACCTTTTCCACCAATCAAAATCAACTTCCCCGTCCAAACAAAATGTTTGACATCCATCAACGCGCTCCCGTTACAGTATAAAATCAACATGAAGAAAATCCTTAAAAGTACATCAATTTCCTTGGGAAAGTGTTCCAAATTTATGGTTTTGGTACGCACGAACCAAAAGTCTAATTGATGAGAGTTTTGAATGTAAGGTGTCAAATAACCTAAAACTCTAAATCTTCTCCTTGAAACGCGATTCTAGCTTATCGAACAGAAATGTCGTCTATTGCGAATCATGCTCTTATATAGCTGCCGATATAGCAAGAGAAAAACGGTACGCCCCCAATGGATAATACCACAAGTAAAAGAAACTTTTGTCTTGTTGCGGTACCTACTATTTTTTAAATAATTAACAATTGCAGGCGGAGTTGATGAGGAATTACACAATTTGTTCAGGAAAACTAATGCCGATGAGCAAAAGTGGTTGATCCGAATCATCTTGAAGGATTTAAAATTGGGAATGGGTCAAGATCGGATTTTAAAGTTGTATCACCCGGACGCAGTCGACTTATTTACCGTTAACAACAGTCTCTCTATAGTACGTTAGAGAGAGGAGGGGATTTGTTACTTAAACTGCTAATTGCAGGTATGCGATACACTTTCGGATTTAACCGCGAGATTACACGAGATTGAAGTGTCTGTTTTTTCGCCGTTTCGTCCTATGTTGTCGCAACGTTGCGATCCACTTCAATTCAGAAAGGTCTTTAGTAAGAATCCCAGGTTGTACATTGAGAATAAATTCGACGGCGAAAGATTTCAACTGCACATGGAAAATAACACGTTTAAGTTCTTCTCCAGAAATGGTTTCGATTATACATCTACGTACGGTTCCAATTACTACACTGGCTCCTATACACCATTACTTAAAAACTCGTTTAAACAAAACGTACGCAACGTAATTCTTGATGGTGAAATGATGGGTTGGAATAAGAGAACGAATCAGTTTGGATCAAAGGGTGAGTGAATAATCTTATTGACCTTAGATATTGTGGGAGAATCTCAAGAATCTTAGGAGCTAACGTTACTTTCTCGTACAAAGTAACTGCCAAGGGTAAAAAGAGTATGACGGAGAAAAACCTTGCAGTTGGATTTATACAGTCCAAAAGTTAGTTGACAAAATAATTTGTATAATTATCAAGTTTGAGCAGTGGTTAACAAAGTAAACTGAAGAGCTTTGATTAGCGTAATCCCGCTCCTGCAAGGTTGGTACCCCGCCCCTGGTTTCGGGGTTTCGAGCCTACAGTTGAATGTCGTACTTCAAATGGTTACAGTTTGTACCACCCCCGTGACTGCTTCATTCACGGAGAAAATTGTTAGTAACAAACGACAAGTCAGTACATACATCAAACAACTCTGTAATTTCCACATAAAATAAAATTATCAAAATTTATATGAATGTTACTTCTGGGACAAGACCAAGTAATCCACACATAAACAGAAATTAAGCAAGCATTGCACTCAAAACATAAACGATTACAAACAAAAGGATAACGGTATCAAACATGTGATTCTGTATTACGGTTAAATCAAGTAAATTTCAAAAACAAAGATTGAAACACACAAAAAATATAAAATACGATATACAAAAATGCAAAAATTACCATCTGCATTAAAAGCATATTTACATATAATTACAAAAGAACCACCTGAATTTAATTGGGACGTATTAAGATTAGTTCCTCTTGAACGCTAATTAATAAAGATTTGTTATAGGAATGGATTTTGATGTGAAACATTTAAAACCCCATAATGTATACCAACCGTGTTTCTGCATTTTCGACGTCATCTTCCTGAATGATCGGGTTTTATCCAACCAACCTCTTTGCGACCGCTTACTCTTGTTGGACACGATAATTAATCCCATACAGGGAGTGATAATGACGAGTCATCGAACAGAAGCCACAACCGAGCAAGAGGTTATAGACAGCTTAAATCGATCTATGGATAGAGAGGAGGAAGGGATTGTATTTAAGGATATTAATTCACTGTACAAATCTAACGATCGCAATGCTGGATGGTGGAAAATGAAATTAGAGGTGCGAATTATTCGTAGAGCCGGGTTGCGTTACCATAGCAAAATCTACCAATTTACAATGCCTCTCATTTTCAGTACTTCGAAAATTTGATGTCAGACTTAGATGTGATTATTCTCGGCGGGTATTACGGGGAAGGGAAAGGCCGAAATCGAGTCACCGGATTTTTGGTGGGTGTATCAAGTGGACAAAACCAAAGTGAAGGTAAATCATAGATAAACGGTTGCATTCTAATAACCTCTTACGATTCCAGACAGAACTCCAACAGAGTACTGTTCCTTTGCGAAAATTGCGACCGGCTTGAGCAACGACGAGCGGAAAATTCTAGACGCGAAGCTCGGACCTCATTGGAGGAAAAAAAGCGAGGGTAATCCGGAGGACTTCGGGATAGTTTGGGGCAAAGAAAAGCCGGACGTGTGGATACCTCCGAATGACTCGTGCGTACTTTTGGTAAGCTGCGAAATGGAAATTGTTGGTTTTCACCTTGTGGGCTTAGGTGAGAGCGTCGGAGTTGGTGAGGGCCACCGATTTTAGTACGAGGTACACGTTGCGATTTCCGCGTATTTTAAAAATTCGCGAAGATAAACCGATTTACGATTGCTTAACGTCGACCGAATTGGAAGAGCTGGCCGGGACTAAAGTTGTACAGAAATTGGGGAAACGGCATATCGAGCTGAGCGATCTAGAGGTTGTGGAGAAAGAGAGAAAGGTGCGAAGAAAGTATGTTCCCAATGAAATTAAACCCGTTGAGAGCAAGTCGGAAATCCTAACAGGATATGAGTTCTGCGTGTTGAGCGGTTATGAGGATTGGAGAAAAGATGATGTGGAGGTTGCTATTCGAGAACATGGTGGAAGTGTTGTTCTAGTGGAAAGTAAGTTTGCATTTAATTGTGAATGATATACTGATGTGTGCCCCACGTTGGTTCTCCAAATAAAAATTGCAAGTGTCCGACGTTAGGCCTCCAAACATCAGACAGTTTTATAATTTATTCCAAAACAATAAAACGAAATTAAAACAAAATTCCTGCAAGAAAGACGAGTTTACAAAACTTGTTTGAATATAATACCCCGCACGCAGGCGGCCGATAATTAACTACTGGCCTGGTAATAGTTATTTACATAAAAGTTAGGAAAATGACACATTACTGGCGAGGAAATATTGAAGTACAAGGCCCCTTTAGGGCCGTGTACTTTAATTTCCGAGTCAAGTAATGTCATTTTACTGACGAGTTTTGTATTAAATTTTACCCGAAATCGTATTTTAACATAAAATTTCTATTTTTATATAGAACTTTTGATTAATGTCAATCTGTCAGTGATGACGAGTCATTATAGACGTTTAGCAATGTGACAGGTGCGGCAGGTAAAGTGACAAGTGCGGCCGGTAAAGTGACAAGTGCGGCCGGTACAGTGACAGGCGGCAGGAAAAGTAGACTGGTCTGCCTCCGTCATGGAAACTAACACTTTCCTGACATAAAGTAGGCATGAAAATGAAGGTTTCATGACGATTTTGGGTAAATACATAAAAAATGTTTGGTGGCTGCTCGGACGGAAGAAACTTTTAACTTTCACTAAGCAGACAACTAACTTTCCTTGTCCACAAACTACTACACTTGATGATAACTTAAATCTTTCATTATCGTTGCTTAACTCCTACACATTTTATTTCGAAACCGACGAACTGCGTCTTCAACAAAACAAGTAGGGCACATTACCCGAGGTTTTGCGTAAACAAGTTTACAGGATCTTTAATCGTCGCTGAGTTCGCAACAGCCGCGTTTTTACGTCGATTCCAGTACTTAAGGAAACACCACTTCCACCATGAGATAAACTCCTGCTTCAGGATGTTCAAAAACACCGCCAATCAGAGTTAGAGTATGCCTTTTTTGAAGGGACGCGCCCCAACTTACGCCGAAAATAACGCACACATCGTAAAACACTTGCATCTTCTAACAGTGATAAGAACACGTGCGTTAATTATTTTTTACCTGATAAGACTCCTTATCCGAAAACAACAAGATGTCTCTACACTTTAACACGCAATTTCACGTTTAACGAAATGCGTCCTTTGGGATATACGATTAAAGAATAAAACGCCGAAGTTATGTCAAGTCTTAATTGATAATATTTTAGGAAACGCCACACTTTGCATCCTGGCCGGAGACGATCATCCCCGCGTCAACATTTGCAAGCAACAAAATGCAAAGTGCGACGTGGTTAAATTGGAATGGTTGCGTAAAATTGTAAACACTGGAAAATTCGCCGCGTATACCCCGTTCGACCTGCTTCACACGTGCAGAAAAACCCGCGATAGGTTCCTAGGCGAGTACGATAAGTACGGAGATTCGTACACCGTAAAGATAACCGTAGATGATGTTCCGAAAATTATGGAATCGGTTAAGGAAAGCGTAATTGAATTCATTTACTTTTGTAAGACGGCCCTGAATGACGCCAATTTTAGAAAGACTACGCTTATCTTGCACAGTTCGAAATAGATAATTTAAAACAAGAGATGGGCGTAGAGAATTCGCTAAACGTATTCGAGAAATCGGTCGCTCATTTCCATTCCGATCAGAGTGACTATAAACTATACGATGGTGATAATAATTTTTGTATAGAGAAGACAATGTTCAAATTGTTAGGCGGGTCCATCAGTGAAATACTAAATGAGAGCGTTACGATAGTCGTCATTGAAGAGGGGTAGGTTTCGTGTGTTACTAGTTCTGCTAGTAATTGTTACTTTGTTGCAGCTCCAGTAAGGTGCAAGAAATTAAACAGTATTTAAATTATATTGATAATAAGGATGCTAAGATTGTCAATAAGGATTACATTTGTAGCAAATTTTCGGAGGTATTTAATGCATGAAAATCGGTGATGTATGTGGAATATGATTGTATTGCAATAAATAAGTTTCAATTCTTGTTGTATTTGTTGTGTTGAACTACCCAGTGGTAAAAATTTAAAGACAATTAATTTGTACCTACCTTTTGTTTAAAATGGATATTCAGTGCAGTGGGAAATTGGCTATTAATTTCTGTGCTTAAAGAAGATTTGGTGGTGGTGGTGCTAAAAGTTCAGCCGTACTGTCACGAAGCGATCCATTTTCCATATTTGTAAGCTAAAACTGCCTTTTCCAAGGAAGGATAGTATTAATTGTAACCTGAAGAAAACACCAGTCTCGTCCATAATTAAGTTACTTTGAATTTTACTAGGAATTGTATTTATCGTAATCATAATATTCCTAAAGGAACTGACCTGGGGAAATCAATTGCATGAATTAGATTTGTATCCCATTTATTGATAATTGGATCCAAACAAATGATTCGCTTATTTTTATGTCATTAGTTGGAAATTGTATTTAATTTCAGTGGTACCATTCCTTTTGTTGGATTCAAATTTTGCTTAGCATTAAGGGGTCGGTAGATAGTTTGAATATGAGAATTCCATGGAATTCCTTGAAAACTCTCATTTACATTGTTGTCCGGAAATGTATTGCTTTTACTACTAGGGTTTACTACACAATCTACTATTTCTCCTCACATAACACCATTGTGTTTTCCAATTCATACTACCCTACTTCATTTTTACTATTATGGTATAAATACAAACATACGCATGGTTTTAGATCAATATTTTGTAACTATTTTAATCTTTATTCAAACATAGTGGAAAAGTGTTAACATAACCTCTTAAGAAATTTAATTGGTCACTTCAGAAAGCTTCCGCAAATTCTTACCAACTTAAAACTAAGATATGTAGTAACACAACTTCATATTTTGACGGAATGTAGTGAGCTTTTTGTATTAGGCTCCTGCAAAACATCCTGTTGAATACGATTACTTAACCATTTTCGTTAATTTCATTGTCTTACATCTTTAGTATAAGCACAATTTAAGTGGAAAAAGTATCAAGATTCTGAAAACATTCCTCCAAACAAAATAGTATTCATGGTAGTTTCAAGTTTTGTTTTTGTGATTGGAATGAATTTCTCACATATTTTTTTTGTTCTGTCAAGTGCCTTTAATCGTGGGACACGTCATGAAGTCTGGGTCTGGTTTGAAATTACACTTTGTAAATTAACCTTCTTTGGTTACTTTTGCACTTCAGCTAATTGGGAACAAAGCTCTGAAGAAAATGCTAGTTCAGGAAATTTTGTAGCCATATTTCAGATTGCAGGAGAGGTTTGCTTTAAGAACTCCACCTAAAGGAAGTAAAAGATTTTGGAAAGAGTTCTGCTAGTCGATGGCAAATTGTAATTCAATTTATTTTATGAAATAGAACAGCCTTATTTCATTGATTTACGATGTTTTGATTTGTATGTTTTTCTCTTTTGCATTGTGTTGTTGTAATTAATTTATTTCTTGTATTTGCGTGTGTGTGCGCCATGTTTTTTTCTTGATGGTTCTCTACTTTTCAGTTTGGGTTTGGTCCGCGGATACAATTAATTTCATTCTTCCTAGTCCCTTCGAACGCAAAAATTTCTAATTTCATTTAATCCTCTTCTCGATGATGTCATGTCCCAACACATAAAAAGAACCGATAACACAACTGCTACTGTAAGTTCAGGGTAAGTCAAGGTTGAAGTGCCGGCTAGAGGATCCTTAGGTCATTGTTGTACATAAGCTACCCCCTTATTTGTTTGAGGTAGAACGGTACGTATTCGAATCGGGGTTAGAGTAATGGTGGTGCTAGAGTTTATTTTGTTTGAAAAGTGTATTTACACATAGTATCATTTTATTCTTTCTTATACATACTAACTATTATATTAACTTTTTATTATTTTAGTAACCAATGACATGAGGAGTGGGGATTTCAATTTGCCCCCATTATGTTCCTACTATTTATATATTTATAAGCAATTTTAAGATTGTACTGATTTTAACCCACCCCAGGCTCGAAGTGCAGATGAGAGATTTCACGGCAAAGTGGCAACGTTGCAATCCCAGTATCAAAACACTGTTCCCGCTCAAAATTCAAAAAGAATGGCCCGTGATCCGATCGTCTAAGCTAGGGCCCCCTTACGTTACACGAAGCTAATACAATGACTCGGGACCCAGTCGGGCAGGAACACTCAAATAAAACACTGTAATGTCTGCGAGTTTATTTATTATAAACTTATTCTGAAAACCCCGTAATTTGGATGTGGTACATTAAAAGCAAAGCAAGCAAAACCTAAAGGTGCCGCACTCTCGCACGCAGACTACCAAGGAGAAAAAGAGCGCGACTTGAGAAAAACCTTGGCTTGAATAAAACCCAAACTATGCTAATCACAAGCAAATTAAAACTCCAACCACCTAAACAGAACATGTAACACTACCTTAATTAATGAATGAATTCAAGTAGCAGGGTACGTTTGAACAGTATGCGTAGATCTACGCGAGTATTCGTCACAACATGTCATGTACCTTCCTTTAATCGCGGCTAGAAGGCAACTCACTTTTTAGTTAGTCATTGGGTGGTGAAACTGGTTATTCGTTAGGTTTGGGCCAGCGTCTTCGCTTGATTGCCCTCCTGTTTCACGGTGATATTGTTAGGGATTGGGCTGGCATATTTGCCTATTAACCCGTAGCGCAGTTAAGATTGTTAGGGGTAACACATTCCCGCATTTATTGATATAAGTCACCTTACTAGTTATTCATATCATTGTATATCGAATGGAGTGGTGTGAAGTTTGTAAAAACACGTCTGATCTATTATTCATCTTGTGACGTAACAATAGGCAGTTATGACAATACACAGTGTGATTGTGGAGCCCTCAATTATGCTCAGTTTCCACATAATAATAAATTTAAAAAAAAATAATAATGATATTGGTATAAACCCGACTTTCGGAACCTGTGCTTCGTAACAATCCCCTGACATCGGTCACGTAACGACACAAAACTGAAGATGGTTAAGAGATGGGTCGCCGCCCATGGGTAGGACGGCCTTGGTTACAGCACTTCGTCCCTAAAGTTGGAGGTTCCAGGACCCTCGGATCCTTTTGTGCCTTAGCTCTAGAATATCTTTCTATTCTAGCGTCCGAGCTCCCTCTCACGGTAGAAAGATATGAGTTACATACAACAAGGCACACGCATTCGCGAATGTTACGAGTCACCCTAAACTAAATACACCCAGCATTGCATGCCCTACTTCACGGAAGTCGAGGTTCTACATAGGTACACCCCCGCGCACCGTGTAACTGAGTTAAACGTGGTCTAAACCTGAGATATCGTAGACTTCCACAAGCACATGGATATTAATTAACACCTTGCATGTTGTAAATTACATATTAGCACAATGGTAGATGGAAAATATCTGATTTAAGTACATAAGAGTGAACTACATCAAACACTTGACCCGGCACCAAAGTGGTTGAATCCCACGCACAAACACCAAAAACAAAGCTAAGCTCTATGAATACAACTCAAAATGCAATAAGCCCACCACCAACAAGTGATGAAGTGACGCCAAGCACCCAAATCCCCAAACATCCTCCGGAAACTACCAAAAAAAATATCGACAGGTGGTGATGGCGGCGGCTCATGTCCCCAGAATCTCCAACTACTTGACCGGTTGCATCCGTCGTTGAAACATACAGGGTATTTAAAGGGATATAGACATCTCTTAAGTTTTTTATATAAAGGGTGTAGAGGCAATTAGCTTTAACAGGTATTGGGGATGGTCGCCATTGTCCCAATAAAGTACCTACCAATATAAATTAATTTTTGTTTCAAACTACCAGCACATAGACAGTGAAAAGCAGAACCTTCATTTCAAAGCGTTTACCAAGATGCTTCATATAGTGCAGGTATTCCGTGAAGAAATACCTAATACAAACCTATTCTTCGCTGTATCTGTTACTTTCTTTCTCGTGCGGACTGCAGCTGTTGTGTCGCATTTACGCGAAGGGTGGTCTCTAATTTGGTGCTTCTCTGTACGAGTGGTTTAACTATTCCGTGGAGTAAGTATAGCCCATACAGTCCGTAGTTCGATTCTTTGCTGTATCTGTTGCTTGCTCATCTCGTGCCGACTGCAGATCCCTGTGTCTTAGCATATACGAGAAGGGGGTCCTCTAATTTCCATTTCCTCTGTTTGTAATGTTTTGCTTGGGCGATAATATGAATGCGGTAGTGCTCGTATTTTACAATCTGCCGGTGGCTTTTCAGGCATTTAGTAAGTGCCTAAATTTATTTAAGTCTTTGTAAGTGACTGAATTTATTTTACTATTTTAGTCATCTAATTAAATACTTTTAGGAACGAATCTGACGCATGCGCATTTACTTTTCCTACGAGTTTGAGGTTATGGACACTGGAGAGTTTGTTTATTTGTGCCTCGTAGGCGTGGCAGCGTGAAAAGTGGAAAAGAAAGATAACTTTAACAAAAGCTTGGATGCTTTTTATACTGGTAACTAATATAATTATTTAATTTATTGAGCACTTAAAAGTACATTAAACACGTTGTCATTTTATAAACTATCTACTCGTTTCGTTAAACGCTAACAATTTGACGTGTGGGGAAGTTTCTCTTCCCCTTCTAGATACCATTTATTGATTTCGAAGGGAAAGGGAACTAAATCGCTTAGTCCTAGGCATTTTATAAAATGAACATTTATAACGGGTGTCCCAAAATTAACGCAAGATTTGAATTTGCCGCCATTTGTGCGGTGAAGTGTTGGCAACCCTGAAAAAAAAGCAATTTGACAGCTAACAGTATAGGGTTATTAAAAATGGAGCGTTACACGATAGAACAACGTGTCTTCATTATAAAAGAATATTTCAAAAATAGTGAAAGCTTGGCGGCTGCAGTTCGAAAATTTCATACAAAATATGGTCGGAATAGTGTTCACATTCGAACGGCTTGTTTTTGGACGACCAGTGTGTTTGGCGTCTCCAACGGATCCAGTCTCCATGAATTTTTCAATTAATCTCTTCACAGTTGACGAAGTTAAAACACTATTCCGACCATATTTTGTATGAAATTTTCGAACTGCAGCCGCCAAGCTTTCACTATTTTTGAAATATTCTTTAATAATGAAGACACGTTGTTCTATCGTGTAACGCTCCATTTTTAATAACCCTATACTGTTAGCTGTCAAATTGCTTTTTTTTCAGGGTTGCCAACACTTCACCGCACAAATGGCGGCAAATTCAAATCTTGCGTTAATTTTGGGACACCCTATACAAATTGCCTATGACATATATATCATTTGTAAACCCAAGGCACTCTGCAAATATGCATCACAGAAAAATTTAATCCATTCAGTTAGGAAATTACATAAATGCACCAATGGCATGTTTATTCCTTCAACAGTAGGTTTATAAATAAAATAAATATTCTACATTTAGGTACTGTAAACAAAATAAATTATCACATTTCTTATAGTTTAGGTTGTTTGGTGTCATAAATCAATTGCCAGTTCGTAGGTTCATTGTACGCCAATAATATTGGACAATGTAACAGCAGTGACAAAGAATCCTTGTCTATCTCACTGGACACGGCGATCCACCCTTTCAACCAGTTGACCATATCCTCATTCTTCATGTTCATTGGGTTCAATCCTAGAATTGAGAAATTATTAAATGAGACAAAGTGAAAGGACGCACCTCGAATTAAACAGGCATGCCGTAGATTGTCGGTGGATAAGATCTCAACTCCGCCTTCTCTTAGAATCGCACGGTCCATAGCTTGAAGGATTACCGCTCTGTCGCCTAATCTGGTCCGTCGAAACCAGCCCATATGCAGCTCGTGCATTTTAAGCAAGTGCTTCTGTAACCGGAAAGACTTATTGCTATTTAATATGATGGCGGCTTACGGTGTGGTGCCTATTTAAGTACGTTAAAGCATACGGTCTTTCTGTAAACAAAACCTTGCACATTAAAATTTGATCGGGATGTGGCCGTATTCCGTTACTTATTAATTCTAAAAGTGCACACCAGTCCTTCGTACGGATAGAGGGAGTGGATCTTAAGTCTAAATGGAACTCTCTAATGATCGGCGTATGACACAACAGCCGGTTGTGTAGAAAATATGTGTTGTACTCGGCCTTTTGTCGTTCATTCCAAAAATGCCTGCAGAGTAACTGTCGTGGGAAGAAATGCGCGAGAGGCAGTGATAAATAGGACACTAGTGGCAAACAGAAAATCACTAGGAATGGTGTAATGTTTCTTAGGTCCTTTGGGATTTGTGCGAGTAGTTCGATTTCTTCGCGCGTTAAATTGTCTAACTCCTTTTTACTTCTTCTAATTTTAACGTATTGGCTGAAATCTGTATACAAGGCTCTTGTACCGTGCGCAAGTAACTTATAGAGTCGTACAAATCCTTCACCAGCGTTTGTTACAGCTTGTGAGATAGAAATCTGGTTTACTACATTTTTGGTTGTATTTGGTTTATTTGTAGAGTATATCAATCTAAAAGAGATCGGGGTTTTCAATTAAGTGTGCTCGAAAGGCTTACGTGGTGGTCAATTGAAGCCTCGAGGCATTGAGTATTGATTGATTTGTAAGTTGTAAAACGGACTTTTGTATAAACATTTAAATTGCAACGTTAAAATCCTAGTGTAAAGTGCTAGGGTGTAAAGTGTTTCAATTAAGGAACATGCCAGTCACTGATTGACATTATTGAAATGAGCATTTTGTCAAAATGGTTCAGGAAACGACACTTCCATGAGAATAATGTCATTTTTGAGAGGAAAACCACAGGAGTTTTTAAACTAAAATCACACGGATTTTGAACTGTACAACTTCGTCCTGGCAGCTACATCTAAACAAGAATTGCACATTGTTAATTTGCTGAAGTTTCCAGAAGTTAGTTGCTTCAACCCAGCCCAATGCACTCCGGGGAGGAGATCGATATCGTGCAGGAACGGTTCAAACGGTAGAATAAACCGCTGCCAGGACAGTTTAGTGAATAATTCGAGGCAAATTTTCTCCATTGAATATACCTATCCAGAAGGTGCCCTTAAGAATTACAATAAAAAACCCCCCGTCTCCAATTTCCGCTAACAACTAAGCCCCATATCTATCTATATCAATTAAGTCTGCCCTAGTATCTCTTTCATTGTGACATTATAACTATCATCGTTCCTTTTAATTAAAATAATTAAAACAAAAAATTGTGGTATAAATTTAATGAACGTATAGTAAGAAACAGCGCGCGCGCTCGGTAGTAAGTCGGCGACTATGCCATCTGCGAAACCACGACGCATGCTTTACGTACGCTTAGACCCTAGCTTTGGCTATCAGATGGCGTCTAATCCTGACTACAGTGACTTTATAAGGACAGTGGCGACAACTTATCATAATCCGCCATATTGGAGCTAAAAAATTGATTGTAAGATCAATATACCTTGTCATGTCAAATTGTGAGCGTAGAACATAGAACTGTATACGTAGTAACTGGAAAGGACTCGCGTCAACCGAAAAGTGAGGCAAGTCGCGTGCTTAGGCAATTCGTTAATCTTTAGGATTCCCATCTCACTTTTACACGAGCGCTTTAATGGAAGTGTTGTTGCGTCACGAGATAAAATCGATAATTACTTAACCAAATAATGGTAGAAATATTTTAGTTTTGTTTGTTACGTTATCTAAATACTTTAAGGTATTATCACGACAAAGTATACGCAGAAATTACTTCCAGTTTATACTATTTAATGCGTGTAAAGGTTAAAGTTCCACCGTCATCGCGCTCTTACTCATTTAAGGATCAGCTGTTTCGTTTTTCCTATGTAGCAAATAATTGTAGTTAATTATGCGAAAGAAATGTACTTACCCATGAAAAGAAATGGGATTATTTGTGCCGTGAACAACGGTGCATCCAACAACTACACAATTGAGCACCATGATGGTTACTGCAAGTTCTACACTTGATTACAAACAAAAACAAATGTATGACTCATAATCACAAGTGTCACTACAATAAATGATTTGTACATAAACGGATTCAAACACATTCGAAGTCAAATATATGCCCATTAGGTGAAACAACATGAAAGAAAGGGAAATCGTCTTTTAATTTGCATATAAAAGTATGAGTGCAAGCGAGACGAGAATCCTAAAGTAAGCCCCGTCTTTGTCTGTTGCCCCTGCCTCAATTTCGCGCGAGCGTAGGTATACGCGAGTCCTTTCCAGTTACTACGTATACAGTTCTATGGCGTAGAATAATAAATGTCAGTTTCATTTAAGTAAAGATTCTTGTTCAAAACGAACTGCGCAGAAATGATCGTTTAAAGCTTTGCAGAACAACCTATGGGAAAACAAATGCCTCCCAAATTCAAAAAGGTATGGGTATATGGAAAACGGTATAATAAGTATGACATATGGTGCAATATCCAAAATGTACATATAAATAATCATTAAATTGTGTTTGACATTTCAGTGTCTTCTGTCCCCTGTCGCGTGTTGCTCCTTCCAGACTTAAAAGTATTTCTTTAGTCTCTTAAATGGAAGACAAAACACGTTGATCTAGTCCACGGAGTACAAGAGATCATTATTCCATGTGCTCCAGCAAACATGAAACCAATTCAAGCGTATTTACGATCACAATTGTTTTTACTGCTAAATTTCGGATAAGCTGCTTCTCTAACCAGTTTTCTATCTAAACTCATTAGGTATTTAGGGCTTCTGAAAAAAAATTTACATCAATTACCAGTCGTAAGGTTAGGCACAGTTTTACATCTAAAAACACTAAGCGGATTACATACCTTATAATATCGTAATAAATCCAAACTATATGCGTCTTTAAAAATCGAGTTTATATAAAACTGGAGACGGAAAACGTAAAATAAAGCAAATACAAGAAGCAAAGTGTAAACTAGTAACATGAAGCCGTGACAATTACAGGTGACACTGTCAAAACAGTATAATTAATAATTATAGCACGGAGTGTACCGCGTCGTTTTGAAGGTTTTATATTGGCCAGTTTGGAATTTAGCTCCAATATGGCGACCGGAACCAACGACCAATCAAAAACGAGATACCCTGTTGTCGCCACTGTCTCTATAAAGTCACTGTAATCCTGACAACATACTTCGATCCATGCGCCACCTGGTAGCTGAACGAGGGATTACGAGTCTGACGACACGTAAGAGACTCGTCTCAAACAACTCCAGACCGTGTTCAAAAAGTATTGGGGTACATGAAACATTGTTGAGGGTACCTTAATTAGGCGGTTTCAACAAAAAAATTGCAGAAGACTATTATTGGTATAATTAAATGTAAAACGGCACTTACTGATTATTTGTTTCACACACTAAAGGTATACAATCAGCATCCTGAGTAAATCGCGGAGACGGGACTATCTGAGGATATGTGTTAACCTCACTTTGTTCCCTTTGGTCCTAGAGGTATCAATATCTTGGGATTGATTTGTATTATAATTACTCTTGTCTATTTTAAATGACAGAAAGCGATTAAATACTTGTGGATTCAAAATGGAACAAGATTACCGTTTTTGATACAGTGACATCTCACGTCATGTTGAAAAACTATTTTGTAATTTTTTGATTGGTTAACATTCAAGGTCAAATTTTCGGACTAGTTCAAAAAGTAACTACTTTTTGTATAGTTATCATCGTGATACCAGTTAGGTACTTCCATAATTGCCCATTTTATGTATGTACTTACCGAAAATAGCATCTTATGTAAATTGTGGGAGAAACAATATGTCTATTGTCCTTCGTTCTTTTTTAACAACAAACAATTTAAACAAATTAAAGATACCTACTAACAGAATAGGGGCAGGATGATGAAACAAAAAATACTTACAACATGATTTCCACTCAAATACATTAGGTGATACGGTCCGTTAACAAACAGATCCTTGCACGCTACAATCTGCTCCGGTTGGGGCTGTAAACCACTTCCGACGAGTCCCAGTACCACCGACCACTTTTTATGAAGAGCATTTTCTTTAAGTTTCGGCAACTGTAACTGCAGATGTCTAAAGACAGGTTTATTATGCACTAGTCTCTTTCTCAGTAAAATAATACTAAATTCGGATTTCTGCTGTAGATTCCAGAAGTGTCTACATAACAAATGTCTAGGAAAATAATACGCTATGGGAAATAATACATAGTGTGTTAACGGTAAGATTGAAAGTATCAGTAACGGAGCGATTCGTCTCATATCTTTCGGCATCTGTTCGTACAGTTCGACCTCTCTAACGTTAAACGTCTCGAGACTCTTCCCCGCTATATTTAAATTGTGTACTAACTTGATGTACAACTTTAGATCATTAAAAAACTCTTTCATACCGTCCATGAATACGCGATAGACTCGCATGGCGCCCGGAAATTTCTTTTCTAATATTGCGTTATACGATTTTAAGTAATCCAAGTAATGTTGAAGTACAAAAAATCTGAATTTCTTCACTTCTTCTGTTTTATATATACTTCTCCTAGAGGAGGAGGTGTTGGACGCACAACATACGCATCTACAAGATTGGATTAATAAGACATACACTCTGAGTCCTCTCTTACATCGGCTTGAAGTAATAAGCTTTGGAGAATGCAGTACTGAATAAGAGTTTCTTCTCACAATTCATGTAATGGAAAAGAATTCGACTAGCCATTCTGAAGACAGTATTTGATGCACAGGCGGAACGAGGAATTAGTTGAATGATTGTATAGTTACTCCAATACGTATTTTTTCCATTTCTCTTAAATTTTTAAATTGTTTCCATGTTTGTTATGTAAAAACACGATTGAAAGTAAACAAACTGCAACAACAAACACATGATCAAAAGAGGTATTTTATTCTTTATTTACAGGGTGTAACAAAAATATGGAAAAATGTAGGGTTGACAAGGCACAATCAATTAAAAACTGTGAGTGTTAATCAGGGCAATTTAGAACAAATAAAGAAAAAAATTACATATAAGCCAATTCTGGCACAGTCTCAGATGTCCGATTTCAACATACAATCTACATGTATCGTCGCGTAAATAGAAACACCGTTTTACTGTTTGAAATAATACGTTAACCTTGTAGGCTTCTGCGCGAACTTCACTCTACAGTAATGCGGAAATAAAATCAACACGGCAACGTTTAAAAATTGCGATCGAAATGGGTAAACCCAAGGTGGATTTATAACGGTGGCGGCACTCCGCTGAAGCGCGTCTACCAAATCTGACCTCGTATTTCCTACCTTCCAGTCGTAGGCTGGTTTTACTATGGAGTCATATGGGAGATTTTTTTAGTACATTTTTGGAAAAAAATACGCCATTATATTCGTTATGGCTGGCGGTTCGGCTGAGATCTCAGCAATTACAATAGCTATACACTTCAAATTTTCACTAAAAGCTTTCTGATGTAGTGTAGATGTGCAGGCTCTAGTTTATTTTGAATTAGATTACTTGTAAGATCGATAATTTAAGAAAATAATTTCGATATGGTTTTCGGAGGTGCTATCATTTTACCGTTAGATAGCGCCACCAGTATAACAACTTAATTATTAGTGTATTTTTTTAACGCATTTTTGAAAAAAAAATACGCCATTATATTCGTTTTGGCTGGCTAGCTGGCTGTTCGGCTGAGATCTCAGCAATAACAATTGCTAGAGACTTTAAATTCTCTAGTCCATTTTGAGTTAGATTACTTGTGAGATCGATATTTTTAAACTTTGCTAATGCGCTTTCATCATGCGTATGCTGATTTACAACTTGTTTGTCTATATAATCATTAATAAGATGATTCTGAAGTTGTAACTCATACAATGTGTTGATGTACTCATTGCTTGTTATTTTATCTTACGGCAGCGACTACCTTTTGTATTTAAAGAACAAAAAATGTGTTCAAAGTTTTTCGGCATGTATATAGACAACCCCAGTGTGCAATTTAGAATAGATGCTAAATTGATGGGAATATCATAATAGATTAACTTTATTTTCGTTTTCCGTTTATATCTTCTTCAGTTTCACTGGACCGATCCAATTTTAAATATCTTTATGGAATCTGTCATCCTTTCTCTTTTATGCGAATCCTCTAATTTACATTTTTCTGTATTGGTTACATGTGAAAATCATTTGAATTGTGTGGTAAAACCGTAAAATGTCAATTCCTTCCAGTGTACCTACCTTAGACCATATAGTACATGGACTGCTATTCGCCCTATGCTTTCAATACAAAATGGATGGTCACGGATAGAGGGCACTGTAGTCGTGGGTATGTGAATCTCAGGGTAAACTAAAGTCGTGTAAACACCACTAGGATCGTATAATGAGCAGATTTATAGTAACCGCGTAGTAGGAGAAGCTTTAAATACTCTTCATTATGTGCTATACGTCCACAAATAAGAATAAGTTTGCTTTTTTTGGGATATCTAGGCGATTAATTAATTGACGTTTGTTAATTTATAGGTTGACAGTCTCAAATCGTGCCTCATCGGACAACTTCGGACAGACTCGTTTACCCTGAAACTCACATAGCCAGGCGATGTCCTTGACCATATTTTAGTTACAATTAGCAGTCCATGTACTATATGGTCTAAGGTACCTACTCGTATTTCACAGCCCACTGGTTTGTTTAAAATGGTACGCAAAAAATAATGTTGTAAGGATGCGGATACGGTAATGAGAAAGCAATATATCGGGTGAATATTCCAAAACCGAATATAGGAAATTTTAACATGGGAAAAACATTTTTTGCAGATCGTTGCTCTTTCTCGGATCGCGCTGGCCGACGGAGAGCTCGTTCCAGTGTAATTATAGTCCAGTGGCAAAACATTACATATATGGGGTAAAACCGTTTGATTATTTCTACTCATAGTGCTGGATATTTCTACTTAACAATAATTTGGTGCCGATTTATAATTTTCTTTAAAGTCACTAAATATAGAAAGTACCGCAATCCATTGGGTTCATGTGTTAGAGAAAGAACGCATGATTTTTGCCCAATAATGGCGGAAGTTACCAGATTCTAGTAACTTTAATGTTAGGGATTGTTCCACCTGTTTGGAGATATCTGTATATATTTTTATAAAACATGACAGTACTATGAAGTTAGGTTATAAAAAATGACAGCTATTCAGATTTTATTTGTCAATTTTTTTAAGTTGGCAGCAAATTTGCCCAAAAATGGCGGATGATTGCGGTCTTCGATCATACATACTCCGTTGTATGATCGAAGATTGCGGTACTTTCTATATCTAGTGACTTTAATTTTCTTCAGTGTGCCCATCTTCAAACACAGCGCCATCTACTACGCACATTGGTTTGGTTCACAGTTGAAGGAGTGTCTACTGACTCAGCTACGGTAGCTACAATGGTGCATTTAATTTTGTAGTAAATTAACCACAAAAACAAATCATGTGTTTGACTTGTGAACATAACCAATAATTTATTATTAGTTTAAAGTGGTTTATTGCTAAAACAAAAATGTTTAGAAAAAGTTTAATAGGGCATTATAAATTGTATTACAAACATTTACAGTCTCTCAAGGTTTGTGTGTTGATTTATTTATTTACGTTTAGGTTATGTTGATACAGTGCAAAAATGTTTCGAAAGCAATTTTTTCCAGAATCGAGTAGTAGCTGACAGAAATGTCGAGTTTGGACATACTAAGGTTAGACTCTGCGTCCTGTACTAATCTAATTCAAATACTTTTAGTACTTAGATGAGTTGAAGTTACAAGCGACAAGTATCGTTAATAGGCTAAATGTGGTAATTGCATCAAACACCTGCACATCACCATCAGTAAGGCAGAAAATTGATCGACTATGTTTAGCTGTTTCTCCTTTTAGGAGCAGCAGAGTTGCAATAAACAAAATAAATATCTGAAACTGAAACTTAGTAAATCAAAGTTTCTTAAGTGTTTTTCACAGAAAAACAATGCGTTCATATTCGGTACAGCTGGATTAACTCTGGTTTCCGACGATGCAAAACCAGCGCAGTATGTCATTGAACCAATCCCCGAGCCTCCTCCGGTATTAGAGAGTGATGCATTGGCAGAAGCGGCATCGCAATTGACCGCTTTAGGGGAACCGACATTGGAATCTTTAGGCTTAGGTGGATGGTCACCAGTTGGCATAATACTGAATTGTTTAGAATTTTTGCATGTCTCAATGAATTTACCATGGTGGGGAGCTATTGTTGTTGGTACGATAAAATTCATGTTTTTCACAGTCTATCCATCTTTAACTAGGTACCGTTATCGCAAGGCTGCTAATGTTTCCGTTAGTTATAATAACGCAAAGAAATGCTGCCCGAATGAACAACCATCTTCCACAAATGCAAGCAATTCAAGTGAAGATGACGGAAGCACGACAGTCCGGTAACCAAATAGAGTCAGCTAGATACGCGCAGGAATTAATGTTATTCATGAAGGAGAAGAATTTAAACCCTTTAAAGAACATGATTGTTCCGATGGCACAGGTGAGTTTGATGGCGCATAATTTCACGGTTTAGGGTTTTACACTTAAAAACCTAGCTATCCTAACACTTTCATGTAGTATTTTGGTTAGCTTAAAGATTGATACGTTTTCGGTTTCATTAACTCGTGCTACTTCTACAAAATAAAGTTGGACGCTGTGTACAGTTTCGGAAATTGCTTGTAGATGCCAATTTTCGTATCGTTCTTTGTCGGTTTAAGAAGAATGGCCAATCTACCTGTGGACAGTCTACGCGACGGCGGGATCTACTGGTTCACAGATTTAACAGTGCCAGATCAATTCTACGCCCTACCGATTATTACAAGCCTGACCTTATGGACGACTATTGAAGTAAGCTGAATAATCACGGGCGAGAATAATTTTAATTTACTTTCAGCTGGGTACAGACGCAGGCAGACTATCGTCTCAAAATTTGCAAACAATGAAATACGTTCTACGTGCATTGCCAATTATAATTTTTCCATTTACGATTAATTTCCCGGGCGTTATCTTGTGTTATTGGGTGGCAAGTAATTTTATCTCTTTGGCGCAAGTGGGTTTTTTGCGAATCCCCACGGTTCGCAGTTATTTTAAAATCGAAGCGCTTGTCAAACACAATCCCCAAAATTTACCGATGAAAAGCAAGGGTTTTACTGAAGGTTTAAAAGAGAGTAAGTACTATTGGTCACAGATGTAGCTGTACTACAGAGAGCTCATAATGTACAGAAATTGAAAAACACTAATTTATGGGATTGAGCTATCTGTAGTATACATACAATTTTGGTTAAATGTTCCTTATAATCAACCTAGGTTGGACAAATGCGAAAATTACAAGACAGTTGGAAGATCGACGGCAGTTCGACGAGCTGCAATTTAAACGAGCCGGTAGAGGACCGATCGAGAAAACTTACAAATATGATCCAACGAAACAGACCAACCCGAATGCAGTTAGCGCAAAGAAACGATAATCTGTAATATTTGTTTAATAAAGTCTTATGTACAATTTTGACATCTTAAAATCTAGCTTACTTTGTTAACAATGCACTGATTTATCACTTTTATTAAGTGCGTATTTTCCAGTGCCGCTGCAACTCGTTCTTTATCTGCAAGTTGTTTGTTAACCGCATGTTCGGATGCATGCGTTCCTGGATTTATTTCAACGTGCACCTTAAAACGCGACGGTAAACATCGCAATAGTTTGACTCTGATCGACAATCCGATTAGTGTCGCCATACTACAATGCGGAATTGTTGGTGTGTACAAAACTTTTATCGTGTTATTTTGATTGTCGACATCAATTAATGAGTTTTCAACAACATGCAGTTCTTCCAGAGTTAGGGGATGTTCGGGATCATTTATTGTGCGAATTAAGTCTGGAAATTGCAGATTTGACAGATAAAATCTAGGTTATGTTAATATTACCAAAAATTTCTCTTGAATCAAACTCGTCCTCCACATCGTTATCTTCTTCTTCAGGCAAAATAGGACGATCGCTTATTTTTTTGTAGACGTGGGGATTTATATTTTCCAATTCCATTATTTCCCTTATTTTTTAAGTAAACACTACCACAAATATTATGTTACTCTTGTTCTGTGCACTTTACAGTATTCCAAAACAACCACAAACAAACATTCAAACATCGACGTTGCAAGATTGCAAGGAAAACCGATTTTGACCAATGCAGCGTTGCAATATTTATTTATTGCAAACACAATATCAATGACAATAATAATAATAACAATGGTTATGTTTTCCAATGACAATATTAATAAACGTCAAAAGTTAAACCCTAAGGTCGATTTGAACTAATTCCGACCGTTGACGTTTTGAAATTTTGGACAAAATAGCAACAGTCGGATTTAAAATATCATGAAAATACCTGAACTGAATAGTGTGCCACAGGAAAGCGTCTCAGGCCTTGGACTTCCCCACTCGGAACTAAATCGCATGCACGCCAAAGGTGACTCGACACTCGACAGGGACTCTTTTTTGATCGCATAGTATTAAAATGTTATTGCCACTGAACCGCATTCGGTATGTTGCTTTGTGACCGAATCTGAACGAAGCCGTTAAAAGTTGGGCCGTTTCGGTTATCTACCGGTACCGGATCCAGCGACATATAGAAGAGGACTGCGCGTGCCACTGCTAAGCGCGGATACTGCAAAGGGAAAAGTACGAGGCCAGCACTATATGGTGCAAAATGGGTAATTCTCTTCATGTACAGATTGGCTAATTAAGAAATTACCATTTGGTTTCCTGTTAAGTTCGAGTTCAAGATAATTCTTGATTTCGATTTTTGTGGCCAATGTATTTTCTGATACAAAATCAACATGTCGTTTCACTTATTAGCAACAATAAATTTATCTTACGTACATTGAAACTTGGGATATCCTGTCATCAATTTACAACGAATACAATCTGTTATCCCATTGGGCGGTGTGGCACCTTCTTCAATTCAGGGCCGTAGTTAGAACGAAAATTGTAAGGGTGCAAACGAAATGTTGGAGGGTGCACTTGTTTGTCAAAAAAGCAAAAATATATAAAAAAACTAATTTTATCCAATATATATTTATATATTAAAAAAACAAAAGATGTAACATAAAATAAACGTAAAATAAATATAAGTCAATCGAATCAATATTTAAGCATACATAAAAATATTAGACAAAAATATAGTTTATCTAATACAGTTTATTTATAACAATAGAAAAAAGCTGGAATACATTCATTAAAATAGTTTCTGTCTTTGGCATTATGAAATTCTCTTAGAAGTGTGTTTATGTCTATATTTTTAGTTCTTTCCTTTTCGAATGCTAAAAATATCAAATTTGCCATCCTTTGATTGCTCATAGAGAGCTTTTTTGGTCGATTAATTCTTGTCGGTACCGAAAATGTAGATTCGCATACTGCGATACTACCGACATGCAAATGACTTACATTACACTCAGCTAGAAAGTTATAGGAATCTGTGAATGCTATTCTTTGCTTGTATAGTTTTAGAAACATATCCCCTTCATCAGTGTTTCAAGATAGCTTTTAACCACAATTATTTATTCCTTTTTTGGAATTTTGATTCCAAGTCTTTGTAGACATTCAGAATTTTTCATGTTCTTCTGCATATTTATAATTCCATCGATAATATCGCTGTTCTGTGAAAAACGCCTCTTTAGTTCGTGATCGGTCAGAGGGTGCCACCCTTTGGCTACGGCCCTGCTTAAATTTCTATTGAAGGAATGGGCTTAGGCAAATAGCTAGGTTTAGGCTTATCTTTTCAGTGTTCCAGCGTATACGGTTTAGTTTTCTTACTCTGAACTTTTGATTATCTATATGCACCGTATTGAACGTCCTCGGCGTCGACAATATAACGCGATGAATTGTATGATTCCCTAGATGATTCCATACTCTAATCGCCTGTTTCAATTCGTCCCTAAGATGCAGACATATACTTTTCTTTTCCGTCAACTTCAAAATCGGTAGGTTGTTTCATATAAATAACTTTAGCTAATGTTCCATTTGAGAATGCAATCTTTCGCGTCTCGATGAACAACCTGTTATTTGCTACATTCCTGCAGACTGTAAGCTATAGGTACACACGCCAGATAAAGGTTTGCCTCGTGTCGCGCAGGTGAATCGTGCGGTCGGCTTTCTAATGTCTATAAAATACTGCATACTGCAATATTGCACTGTGTAATTTTTCAAAAATTATTTTAAATCAAAATGAGTTTCGCAACCAATCAAGTGTATATTTTCTTATTTGTCTTGTACAATCACAATTAGCACATTTAAAATCTTCAAAAACACGAACTTATAATTATAAGTTTAACTTATAAATAAGTTCGTGTTCAGAAAAATTGTGCTTTAAAAAATGTTGTTTAACTTGCAGCTTACTAGATTTGTTGTGTGTTGATTGAAGTCACATTCACCATCAGTTTGTTGTTGTGCAGTAGGTAATGGTAATAATAAATCAACAAGAACGAAACACAAGAGGCATCATAAATACAAGTGAAAAACACGATAAATCAAATAATAGTTATCTATTATACAATTTAGAGGCGTCAAAAATAGCAAGCTTAGGTTCTGATGTCGCAATGGTTTCCATAGAAACAGAATTGTTATATGTTCTGAACGTCATTTTATATCGTGCATTTGAAATAAGATTGATAGATTTCATTAGAATTCACAGTCATTTGTTTCACTTTATCTACACTTACCGTTAAAGTGATCACTTTTTTCTTGTCTGACTTTATCTATCCTTACGGTTAAACAACGGCTTAGCCTACTCATTCAAACCTGTTAAAATGTCAATTTAACATTATGCTATAAAATAAAGTAGGTAGGTACATAAAATTGATCGTTTCACTTTTTTGATAAATCTATTTTTTTCTTCTGTTGGCGGACATGTGGCAATTGAACCAGAATTGAATCATAGCAAATATAATGCAATGCTTATTGTGAAGTATGGGTTTCTGACCGTTCCTCGCAATGTATCGAGCATGGCCTAAGGCCATGGTATCGAGTTACGAGGTGGCAAACCATATGTTTTAAATAGAATGTATCAAGTTACGTAGGGGCGGTAAACCTTCTGTAAGTTACCGAAAGGTCCTTAGAAAATTTAGCATTCTTATACAGCATCTTGTATCACAAGTTTTATTCTTATTCGGTCCGGATCAAAGATTAATACATAACACTTATCGCATGCAATTCCTTGACCTTGCAACTTCTTTCTGTAAGTTTTTGTGCGTATTGCACCATGTCAAGCGACTTTAACAAGTGAATGAGCGAGAGATGAGTGAATGAAAGAGTTGAGATTCCACTTAGTTGGAACAATGGACGCTGGCTAAATCTGGCCTCAAGTTATCCAGTGATCTACTACAACTAGTGTACGGTGTGCTCTCGTTGTGTCCTTTATTTTTGTACTTATCTTTATGTCCTTAAGGGAGACTAAAGTGGTTCGTCCATTTACGCCACAAAACCAATAAAACCAGATGTGAACGCAGTTATACCTCCCTAATGAGACGACACGACGTATGTCCGTCCACTTGGTGGACTGCAACCTACTGTGCCATGGTTGGTTAGTTCGTTTAGGTGTTCGTCGCCAATTTACAATTCCTCTTATTTGTTATTTAATTTATTACTTCGGAGTTTTCGGTCATCTTGTCTCACACTTGCATAACGATCTTCTAGATCAAACTTGTCCTATCTAGGGGCAACATATCAGTAGGTACCACGGATGGCCTCAGTATCTTAGTATGTGCAACATTACTTCATTTTGTTGTCCTATCGCACATAATCGATCTTACATGAATCATACGTGTACTTTATCTTTCCACTTCGCTTCTTACTATAGTTTTCGATAAGATACTAAACAAAGTTTATTAGTATTTACTCTTGCACTTCGAAATGTTCCTTGTCGTTCTGTTGATTTCTAACGCTTTGGGTGTTTCAGGTAAGAGTCTTTTCCTTTTTGATCGATCGTACACTTTTTTTATTAACTCTGGAACAGCGTTGAACTGTTACACGTGCAAAACAACGGAAAATGAAAATGACAAGCGATGCATAACGAATCCAGGAGCTGTAGAGGGGAACGCGATTACAAATTGTAACAAGAACTATTGCACAACGGTTCGCGTTGAATATACTGTAAGTAATTCACGAGTATATCTAATCAGTATTCCTGCCGATACACATTTTTTTGTAGGATCCGAAGGACAGGGTGCAATCTATGAGTCGAGATTGCGTAGACAAACCCATCTACAGCAATCAAGTAATCGAGGACGCTACGTACCGCGTCTACTACACGTCGTGTCGAGCTGATTTGTGCAACGGAGGCACTGGCAAGGATATATCGATCGGTGGTGGAATGATTCACAGTGATGGAGTTGCGGTAGTGCTTTACGTACTAGGACTAGAACAAAGTTCCGGATTGTCAGCCGGTATATCGAATGTAATGCTTTTCTTAGGCATAAACACGTTATTGTTAACACGTTACATTTTATTGTGACACATATATAATGTAAATATTGTTAATAAATATCTTTAATGTATGTGCACCAGGAGTTTTAGGTGCGTTCTGGTCACGGCTTTCATTCCAAATGGAAATTATTGGACCACCAGCTGTGCTCTGCACGGACCAGCTATAGAATCCTTGCTGACTGTTTCTTCGATGTGGGATTAAAAATGATTCTCCGTGCTGTGCACGGACCGGCCACAGAATTCTCGCTATGTGACCGCCCAACGTTTCCCTATTCCTTCTGCTTCCGGTGCAGTCGGTATAAGCGCCATCCCTGCTGCACTATGTACATATACTTTCTTTGTCCGCAGCTTTACTACAACTTGATGTAGGTGATGGCTCGCTCTTAGTTTAATTTTTTCGGTTCTCAGTCTCACGTAATGGACCGATTGGCTGAAGGTTGCACGATATGTTTTGCGACAACGCCTGGCGGAGATTTTGAACTCCGTGGCGCCGTTTTACGAATGCTTCTCTCCCACTATTTACATTTATATTTATAGGTATTGCCGTATTATCTGTTGACGTCATAAACATCTTTATCTTACAAAGACGAATGATTTAAAATACCCACCTCGCGTTTGCATAAGCTTATAGTCATTTAACATCAGTTGCGGTAGACGTACTTTAGCTTGGCTCTCTTTGCTCTTATTTTAGTTACAATGATCCGCTTCATTTAGTTCATCCTGAATATACAGAAATAAAGCAGTATTTACTATCCTATTCTATTTACACTGGAAATGGATTGCATTTCTAACCGCGCCTGTTACGATAAGTATTTCTCACTTCCTTTTGGCTTTCTTACGGTTAAATAAAAAAAACAACTTGGGTTATCAGTAAATGAAGTAATTAATTTCCTTGCAATGCGCAAAATACACACATTCACGATGATAATTGCGTGTCTATTTTTAGATTAAACATTTTTCTACGTTATCGAATGTTTTGTACATACCGCGGCTGATAGACGTATTAGGGCCGGTATTTCCATCTCAGGATAAAGTCAAGTATAAGATATCTTCCAGGTAAACCGACAGTTAGCGTCGCTTCGGGTATTTCGAACCTCGTTTAAATATTATCGGCAGGATAAGTTCTAGATAAAGTTATTGTTATTGTAAGTTATTGGGCAGATTTTCTGCAGTTATCAACATAACCCCAGGATATTGCGTCAAATTTCCAGTAAACTGGTGACGTTTTAAAAATTTGCGAAATTACCAACCGTACCTATACTAAATAGGAAGAAAGAAATTGAAGTATGGAAGTAGAAGTACGCAAATACATACTATGTTTTCTTGAAGGATATAGGTAACCTATTTTAGATTCCAAATGGGTCATGATTTTCTTGAGACAAGCACACGATTTTCAGATGTGCTGAAATTACTTAGCCTTTTCTTTCTACGCGGTGCATTTACATCACGATTTTGGTTCATGTTCAGAGTACTCATAAGTAAAGCTTATTCTGTAATTTACGTTTGACAAGTATATTACAAGTCACTGAATTTCTTTCCAAAACAAAAGCATTCGTTCAAATTGTCAGGTAGTAAGCTATCTTGCTCTAATATATGGCCCTGCCGTTCGCTATCTTTTTCTATTACAGACTTCTAAAATCGGCAACATTGGCTATGGTTAGGTAGCTATCTACGGGATATATTTATACCGCACGCTGATGGAAATACTCGCAGATAGATAAACGGAAGATATCGGGCGGTATAAGTTATTTGGCAGGTACGAATCTAGTACTTTATCCGAAGATGGAAATACCGGCCCTTAGTCGTGATGCCGGTTTTCTTAAAAACTATCCAGAACAATAAACAAAGAAGCAACGGTAGTAATAGAAAAATCAGAAGCTCCTGCGATATACGGAATTGCAAAGATAGATGATGGTAGTTTATAAACTGGTGAGTGTCCAGCAGTCAATGAAGACGAATCCTTATCTGAGTTAGAAATTAATAGGCCCACAGCCTACAATGCATCAATTAAACGATCTGAGCGAACAAACAAGGGCGTAAAACCAAAACGAATGATAGAAAGAATGGATATCGTTTTTATTATATCTTGCCGAAAAAGTTTAAGGAGGTTTAAGGATGTTCGTCGCAGAAAAATAAGGAGATCGCTGCGTTGAATGAACGTGGGAATTGGGTCAAATACCCTAATATGTATTGCAATATGTAGGTAATATGGGTCAAAACGGATGCAATACGGTAGCGTTAAACAATACAAAACGCGGTTGGTGGCAAACGGAATTTCCCAGAAGTCTAACCGCGCCAGTTGTTAAGCCATCTACAGTCCGCCTGTTAAGAGAGAGGTGTTGGAACCGAAACCGAAAAGAACACGGCGGTGGAACCGATTGCATTTATAGGCCCCCCGCTTAGAACCGGACCCGTTATTCAAAAAATTATGATAATAACGGGAACCGATACCGGTACCGTTATTATTAGTGCACAGAACCGGTATTATTCGGTTTTCTCCACCCCCCCCCCTTTTATAATGTTGCTTTTGAAAATTTGTTTCTGAAATGTTGGCCTTAAAAACGTTTCTTATATTCAGATTTATTATTCAATGACATTAGTTATTATTATTAACGATAAAATATAATCAGGGTGTCAACTGTTTGAGTGCCACTCACCCCACTATTGACATCTCGCTTACCTTAAGAGGTAGAAAGTTGGTTAAATGAGGGTAAAGTTGCGAATTTTCGTGTAGAATAATAATCTGAAAAGACATTCAATAGTTTAGTATTAATTTTTTCATGATAAATTAATCGTACTAACTAAAACATTAAGACATTTTTTATGGACAATAGAATTATTTTTTAAAGGTCTCGGTTACGATTCTGTTCTTTCTTTTTAGCGCATTTTTGCAAATTTATTTGTAAAAAGTAGCTTTTAATCTCACTTTGGCTGGCTGGCTGGCAGCAAATGTGGGCGCGTAGAAGAACTCTTGTAGAAAGGCAACGGGTGTACGTGTATCTACAGGGCCGTGAAATTTGTCAACCTTAGGGACATGGCTACATGATGTGGGGTTGGTGACATCTGGGCTTCATCCTCGAGCGTAGTATACTAACGTGAAGGTTTTTCAGTTTTTTCCTATCTTCTACTACAGTTTTGGTCCGATTCTTTTGAAATTGGTGTCGTCGGAAAGATGTTGTAAACGCGCACAACTCTTGCGTGGCGGAATTTTGTTTTTTGTCATAGGGGCGAAATTAACGACCTTTTGCGAGGCGCGCGCGCGTCTTCGAGAAGTAGTCAGGCGCCTTTTACCTTCCGTTGCGAACTCACGCGGTTTAACGTTTCGTGAATCTCGAATCGCTGTCTCTCTTTCTCGTGTCGCCAATAGGAAGTGAATTGCGAGTGAACGGGACGTCGGAAGTGGGTACCGTAAAAGAGAATGTGGTAGCCCGCGACACGATCTCACTGATGGTGGAGTCAAATCTTCAAACGCGAATTGCTGGTGAACGGGACGTCGGAAGGAGGTACCGTCAAAGGGAATGTGGTAGCCCCCGACACGATATTCCTGATGGTGGAGTCAAATCTTCAAACGCGAATTGCGGGTGAACGGGACGTCGGAAGGGGGTACCGTCAAAGGAAATGTGGTAGCCCCCGACACGATTTTCCTGATGGTGGAGTCAAATCTTCAAACGCGAATTGCGGGTGAACGGGACGTCGGAAGTGGGTACCGTAAAAGGGAATGTGGTAGCCCGCGACACGATCTCACTGAAGGTGGAGTCAAATCTTCAATCGCGAATTGCGGGTGAACGGGACGTCGGAAGGGGGTACCGTCAAAGGAAATGTGGTAGCCCCCGACACGATCTTACTGATGGTGGAGTCAAATCTTTAAAAGCGAATTGCGGGTGCACGAGGAAAGTGGGAAGCGGTTAGTGAATGTAGTAGCCTTCGACAAGATCTGTTGTTGATGGTTGAGTCGAAAGTGGCTAATAGAATACTGATCTGCCACACAAAAATGCGCTGAAGTCCCTTCGATCTCAAACGAGGACTTTGATAATTTTTTTCTTATGGACGCCATTTAGAATTTTGACATTGTGAGATTACGTCTACTCAACGACGTATAACACATGGCGGTTTAGTGTCACATTTTTTCCTAAAAATACAATTTTTCATTTTCTGGGAAGAGTGGAACGGAACCATATAATTAAATGGGTTCAACTAGGTAACTGCCTAAAACACATGCAGGAAAACACCGTAAATACTGATTGGTATAGCTCGATCTAAATGTTTTTGGTTGACTCTACTGATTTCATTCTTCATATTAGACTGTAAAACAGGCACAATATGGAGAATGAAATCAGTCACCCAAAAACCTTGGACCGCAGTTTAGGTTTAGGTACATAAATAAAATAACATTCAAACATCTATAAAAAATGATCAAAGTCCTCGTGTGAGATCGAAGGGACTTCAGCGCATTTTTGTGTGGCAGATCAGTGTTTTATTAGCCAATATTGACTCCACCATCAATAAGATCTTGCCGAAAGCTACCACGTTCACTTTGTCGGTACCATTTTCTCACTTACCGTGCACTTGCAATTCGCGTTTGAAGTTTTGACTCCACCATCAGTAAAATCCTTTGGGGGTTACCATATTCCCTTTGTCGACACCCACTTCTGATCACCCGTAACAATTCGGATTTGAAGTTTCGACTCCACCATCAGTAAGATCTCGTCGGGGGTTACCACATTCCCTTTGTCGATACACAGTTTCGACGTCCCGTTCATTCGTAATTCACATTTTGGTAGATTTCGCTAAAATCCCGGCATAAAATCGTATTCAACTTTTGGGTACTTCACATAGCTCAACCTTCTATTAGTGACACGAGAAAGAGAGACCGCGATTCGCGCTGTAAGAAACTTTTGGGCGCCCAAAGTCGACTACCCCTCGAAGCGCGCCGCGCAAAAGGTGGTTTATTTCGCCCCTAGGAAAAAAAACAAAATTCCGCCACGCAGGAGTTGTGCGCGTTGACAAGATCTTTCCGACGACACCAATTTGAAAACAATCGGAGAAAAACTGTAGAAGAAGATAGATAAAAACTGAAAAATCTCCAGGTTAGTATAATACGCTCGGGGATGGCGTCCAGATGTCGTCGACTCCAAATCTTGTAGCCCCATCCCTAACGTTCTTAATTACATGGCCCCGATAGTTACATGTACACTCCTTGTCTTTTTACAAGCGTTTTTCTACGGGCGCGCATTTACTGTCAGCCAGCCAGCCAGCCAAAGTGAGATTAAAAGCTACTTTTTACAAAAAAAAATTTTTTGCAAAAATGCGCTAAAAACAGATATAATCGCATTACACGCCACTGTGGTAGCACATTTATCTAAATTGAACCATTAAACGTGCAAACCAAATTCAGATAAAGTGTAAGAGGACCATTCTCGTTCAGTTCATTTCACAATTTTGGCCGAACAGTCACATCAAGTTTCAACTCTGTCTTTTAATAAAATTACACTGCCAAAAGATAATTTTAAAGGGTTTTCGTATTTAAAGCGTCGCGTCGCGTCGTCGCGATTCCTATCCTATACCTATGTTATTGGAGAAAGAGAGACAGTATTATTACAAATGTTTAGGTAATCCCCAAATAGATGTTTGGGTGTTATTTTCACCCCTTACACATAGGTAAATACCGAGGTAAATACAATTTATTTTTTAATTATAAGTGTAGGTATATTACAATAATACATTGAATAATACGCAAATTTCGGATGTGAAAAGCATCTCGAATGATGCAATCAATACTTCAGCATCCCTTAAGTTTGGATGGAGTGCGAGTGCGATTGCGAGCGAGTTGTCTGGCTGGGGCGTGCTTCGCGTGCCACAGCCGGAGACCGGCATACGCCCATTTTATTTCTGCCCTTTAAGTTTGTCGTTGGGTGTAAAATGCAGGTTGCAACGAAAGTGCAACGGTTTTGCGTTTTGTTGTGGTGCATACAGCTTTCCTACGGCGTGGTGAGTTTATTTGTTAATTTATCATCGGTTGCTCTAATAATCTAAATGTCCTCTAAATTAAACACGCCGCCCGTTTGCACATGAAGGGGCCGTTGACTTAGTCATACAATTCGCGTTTCTATTCTAGTAGATGTGGCTTGTTTAATTTTATTCTTCTCGAGTTCTGAATCTCAAACGGAAACTGTTGCGATTTGCGGCGTGTTTCGAATTTGACGCATGCGTATATGGAAACTCCAGGTAAGTAGAATTTTTTAATTACGAGAGTTCTTTCGTAAGTCTCGTGCAAAGTTCGCGATTTACATACACTTCTAGCCTGTGTAGTTGATTGTTGTGAATATTTTTGCAGTCGTTACGTTCCAGGAAATGTGAAATGTGTTTCTGATTCATATATGTGGTCATCGATGTTGTTTTCGTATTTTTTTCGATGGTTGTGGTTACTTTATCAACATGTACCCAGTGCCGGGACTTAAAGACCCAGGACCCCTAGGCACTTGAAATTTGGGGGCCCCCTGGCCCTTATCCCGCAGTCATTTTAGAAATTCAGGGAATTAAAGGCACAGTACAAAATGTATATTTTAAAAAAGAATTTAATTACTCTAATAATCATCATAGCTAGGTCCTTAAAATCTATACAATCATACGGCGAACTTTCTTCTCTGCGAAAGAGCGGATGACGTCGTCATAGTCAATAGACTGCATTATTTCCGACTCTATGTACATTACAGAGAGTGAATTTAATTTAATCTATGTTTTTCTATATTAGATCTTAAAAAAGTCTTTATTCTTTTTAGCGCGGAAAACGACCGTTCTGCTGAGCAGTTTGACGCGGGTGTGCACAACAGCATTCGGAGCGCAATTCCTACGTTTGGATAAATGTCCAAAAAGCCTTTTTCCAACAAGTATTTGTATAGATTCAAAAAAGAAAACTCTAACTTCATTCATCGACAATAAATGAGCTCGCATCACAGTAGGCTCAAATAATATCGTCGTTTCACTCGTTTCGCTTTAAACCTGTAGGATTGGATAATATTGGCGACTGTTTTGATGAGACAAGCCCAGCCGTTTGCTGGTTTATTTATATCAAGGTCCGTTACACACTGGGGCCCCTAGGCCCGGGCCTTGTGGGCTTAGCTGTAAATCTGGCACTGCATGTACGTACCTACGTTACATTTTTATCTCTAGGAAATTGAGGACATTGGACATAGTTGGTATGATATCATGACACCTTAATGTTGGCAAGCCGTCAAAACACTGCCTTTAAACAAATGTTATTTACATGTAATTTCCTTTCCTTCGCGACTCTTTTTTGAGATGGGTGAGGGAGGTGGTGGTGTTAGAATTGTAGAATTATTTTCTATGGTATTCTAATTAAAAGCATCAACGAAAGGAACAGTTTTCTACCAACTACAGCCCTTCTCCCTTACCCCTTATCAAAGGGGTAGTGGGGGGCGGGGGGACTGTGACTTCATGGTACTGAACGGAAGAAATTCATTTCTACTAACCACAGTCCACCTCCTTGACCCCTTATCGTGATCGATTATAATTCCTCATATCTACAGAGCGGAGTGTCGGAGACGGCACGTATAAAAGTCGATTGAAACTTCTATGCGAGACATCGCCAATGGTGAATATCTCGAAAACAGAGTGCCGCTAGAAGTCATCCCAGTGTACCTTTGACCTCATGACTTGCTGTTTGTTCCTCCAGAGAAGATTCTGCCTTCATAGTGGTTGCATGCGAATTTTTTTAAAATTACATCATTACTTTTCCTTGACTTATGTCTACCTGAGAAAGGGCCCTTTGTAGTGGGTATTACCAAAGTCCTTTGGAGTTTTTCTGTTTATGATGTGTTGTGGTTATTCCATTGAATACGGTTAGCAGATTTATATTTACTGATTACTGATAACACGTAAGTGTGTTTAGAGTGTTGTCTTTTCTCATCGTTCTCCCCTAAGTTTCTCTTCTGATTTATTTTTCCTTCATTCTACTACGATATTAGCTAATACGTGATACGTTATTACTGACCTCCTTCTTAATTTGTTAATTGGTAGTTCAATTAGCATCTATTGTTAATTGGAATGTTGGGATTAACCGGCGATGTCGGCGCTATCAGGCTGAAAAAGTATAACGCGCAAGCTTAGAATGCAGGGCACTATAAAATACCATGTGCCATTTGAAATCAACACACGCCGCTGATCGGCCAGCTAGCTCCGTTGGCCAAATAGTTAACAGCGTAGAGAGATATGTTCTTACTCAGGGTAGTAGGTAAGTGAATTAAAAACTTTGACCACAAATTATTATAAAAGGTTTCAAGTAAATCTCCGCCACTAATACTTACTGGTACTTCGATTCAAGTCTTTCAGGCGCCACCTAATTCCGCTAACAATTTTAACTGCAGCCACCGAAATTAGGAAAGGTAGCTAGTATAAAAAGAGTCAACAATTGACCCACAAAAAAATTATTGTTTATTAACCAAAGAGTATGCAAAATACAAAAAAATTAAATCTTCCCATGAACTATTAACACAAAAATTAACCCACCAACAACCCCTGAAGTTATGTGACACCTCGTACCGCTAAGCAACGATAAGCATAATTACTAGAAATTAAAATTGAAATGATGTACTATAATCGGTAGCTTAAGGTGTTGAAGTTAATCGTAGTAACGATCTCTTTACCTTACAAGTGATTACTTCTCTAGAGCAATTCGTACTTGATAGTTAACCAGTCCTAAAGATCAAGCATACTAATTACACGTAAAAATTTCCACTTACATATGTGGGTCAAATAAACTGTTCATAGATATGTACAAGAAGACAAGTTAAATCGGAGAGGCAAACACAGAAATGCAAAAGTAACTAGAAATTGGTCGCATTAAATGACTCGAGAAAATTTAGAAAATATAAAGGTGGAAATTGAAATATGGACAGAAATGATTATTTTAAAACTGTTACAAACGGCGTAAACCTGCATGGCCTTGCATTTCCAATGATCGTTTTAATTTACCGTAGGAAACAAAACCTGCCAATAATTTCTTATCATGGCTGAAATTCTAAAATATTAATTTTCCCTCTTCTTCGAAATGACAAGAGCTTTCGTACGCAACAAAACCTACTTAAATAGCTAGGCGATAACGGTTGCAACCGGAGGGCGGATTAATTGCAGCGTTAATTACGGTAGGGGCGGCTGAACCGCAACTCTAGAAATTAAATCAATTACTTTTAGCTTCGATCTTCAACTCCTAGACCCAACACAAATACTTTCGGCACGATACTTTCGTAGCGCAGCGGCTCTTTATACCACAGAGTGGTCACTAAATCTGCTGAAAACCGGGTGCTGCGTTACAAAATTTAGTTATTTGTGCATTGTAGAGTAGTTTTTTTGAATTCAATTTGTATGGACGATTCGTTGTCGATCAACATTTTGGTTTTGTTTTGTTAGCGTAAATTGAATTATTGATTCTTATTGAGTGTTCATTACAGTTTTCGTATTCGAGTTACCTGATTAGTGTCAAACACTAGACATTACTATCGCAATAAGGATGTGCCGTGCTATTCACTCTCTCTGGTTTTTTATTGTTATCCGGATTACTGTTATTTTTTGTTGTCTGTTGCTTTGTTTTGGCTATTGCCGTGTTGCTTTGTTTTAGCTAGTGCACGAGAACCCCATTATTCACCTCGACTCACCTCTACTTTGCCTGAGCTTACCGTGTGCTTATCTAGAGGCAACTTTGTTACGTTTGCTCAAAGTGAACGTAACAAACTTATAATGTGGAGTCACACTGAAAGCATAACCGAATGAATGAAACATTCGCCCCTTCCAAACATGTGAGGCTTCCAATTTTTTCAACGGAATCAAAGGGATAGTGAAATGTTTGCAGAATACTACTTCGAACTAAAGAAATCAAGAAAATCGTTTCCCGGAAGCAGCATATAAAAATAAATGTAAATGCACGTTTAAGTAACGAAGGTAATGAAAATTGAACTGATAATGACGGCGACATCACACTGTTGTAGGTAAAAAGAATCAAGCAGTGCAGATTGCTGTTTTCAAGAGTGCATCATTTGATAGGGGTGCGGATTGTTCAATAATTCTTGACATTAGAATTGGTGTAGAGAGTGATAGGAGACATTTTCGGTAACATAGAAGGAGTTGAGAGCTCTACAGATGACATTCTATTTTATGGGAAAGATACGTCAATGGAAGATTGTCAACAGTTTTGGAAACTTAAATGTAAATGTGTTGTACAAAAAGTAAAATATATGAGAGTAGAACCCGGCTTCTCTTTCCACCATCTTGAATTTTCTTCGCGGTCCGTGTGGGGCAGTTGAGTTTAAGTCGGGCGTGGATATTTCTAAATGTGTAGTGGGTTGGATTGGTAGACCAGCCAGCCTTGGCTGAAACCCTACCCACTCAAAAATAAAAGCTTAAAATGTATGGTGAGAGGCTGGTAATAACGTTCAAGTTAACGCGTCTGTAGATAGCCGAATACTAACAGGAGTTAGAAAGTAGTGGGCGAGTGACTCCTGACTACGGTCTTGATTGTTTAAATGCATGCGTCGTGGCATTGGCGTGTTTAGTTCAGATTACAGGAAGATTTTGTTTATTTTGTCGTCGTGGTTATCAAGCTGGCTTCTGACTTTGGCGGAAAATTGGGCGACGCGAAGTTGAGTTATGTGTCAAGAAATCCGATTGGTTACAAAAAATGGGTTTTATTGGTGGAGATGGTGCAAGTATAGAATGGGCGTGAATCAGAAAAATCTGTCACAAATTACACAAAATTAGCTTAATTGGAATACTGACTATCGTGCATAGATGTAACATTCGACGAACTTACCTATATCTGTAACTGTCTTATGTTAGCTACGTTTTTTTCGGTGAACATATTAGGACTTCGTTGTCCGTAACAGCTTTAGAAATTCATAACAAATAGATTCGATTATTGACAATAGTTTAAGAAATGAACATGTGCGTGTTTCATTTTTAATTTGCATTCATTTTTA